GCCTTAGAGGGCTGCGCTTACACTCATAGAATCTGGGGTTACAATACGTAACCAACGGTCCTCGGTGCGAGGCTGCTAGCGAGCTATATCCACCCTGAAGGTTAATTTTGGACAATATCTGATGATCGACTATTTTAAATGAAACCAGAGAGCGTTGACAGAGAGGAGAAGGTAGAAATGACTCAGCCTGGAACTGAAAATATGGATGGAGGACCTCAGTAATGAGAGGAGAACGTGTAGCGCTGAGCTAATACATACATATAAGGTGATAGCATCGGGGCTAACGCTCCTCCATCTATATTTTCAGTTCCAGGCTGAGTCATTTCTACCTTCTCCTCTCTGTCAACGCTCTCTGGTTTCATTTAAAAGAGTCGATCATCAGATATTGTCCAAAATTAACCTTCAGGGTGGATATAGCCCATTTTCTGTGGCGTTACATTTGTGCCACCAGCTTGAGCGCGCAGTAACGCTGATTTGAGAGCAGAAATCAATATGAACAAACAATAACTTGAACCATGTGTGTTCAAATCACACACATGCTCACGCAGCTCCTTTCCTACTTGCTCAACTCTCTTCCTGCTTGTGCTCGACTCCCTCCTCTCAGCCTCCCCTCTGCTCTCTGGCAGCTCTGTCTCTGCACTCACAACCCAGATTATATTGACCCTTTGCACGTGACGTCATGCGCCTCAGAAGACCGCCCCTTTTTTCCATGTTGAACAGCAGAAACAGACATGTGTCCATGAGATACTRTTGAGCTAGAGGAGAATCAGGCAGTTGGTAGCCTAATATGGTTCTTTCCTCCTGTTGATTTAGCTGTAAAAATGGTCTTCAGCTGCTGCACAGTCGGCCGATATGGAGACTCAGGTTAACCGGACCGGAGTGTCTCTCCGGTTTCGGACCGCTGCGGTGCTGGTTGTAAAATATTATAATCTGTCCGTCTGCCCACCTGCAGCACTCYGTGTCATAGTGAAGATATAAACAACAGTGATAGCTGGAAATATAGTTGTTTTTACTCAGTGTTGAATCAGTGTTATTGAGTGAAAGGTCAGAGGAGATTTTATTTATTTATTCCACCTTGATGGAGTAAACACAAGTTACACATTCAGGTGGTCATAAAATCAGACCAGCTGATCATCAAATCTGTTCATCTTTTTAATTTAACTGGGAACGGATCATTTCAGCTAAATATCGAACAGAAAGAAGCGCAGCTCGGAGCGCTGTTGTAACCTGAAGCTACATGAAGAGAAGCTATTAGCTTGTTAGCTTGCTAGCCGTTGTCGGCTCTCCGCTTTGAGGTGCTCAGTAACCCGAAAAACATCTAGAATCACGTATAGAATCATCAAATAAAAATACATTAGCATTAACAAGCAAGTCTTACCTTCACCATTATGAGATATCTTGTCCCTCCATGTAACAGTAGCATCCTGTCCTGTCCCGGTCAACCCATCCTGCAACAAAAAACTGATAAACATCCAGGCTTTTAGATGGTTTTAAGTCAGCTCCAGTGTAGGGGAAACACCATTTATGACATAGTGGTATAAGTCATGTGGTGTGAATTCAGGCAAAGTTTGCATTTTGATCAAATCAACAAACACGTCCGGAGGGAGAAGATATGGGTCGATTTCTATCTAGCTCTGTCCAGCTTCTGTAAATAACGCTGTYTGTGAGCCCCAACTAGGTGTGCGACTTCCACAGATAAATTATCTAAACTTGAACAAGTAGAAACCACAGCAAAAAGAAAAAAATAACTTCAAAAAACATAATCGCTGCCATTCAATTCAGTACACCGCTCTGTGGCTTCTGCCGTCCAACATGGTGGTATCACCTGACTTGGTCACATGGGTGCAAAGGGTCAATATAAAAGAACCACATCAGCAGCCAATCACAGACGGGCTTTTTTCATCCAATCAAACCACTTATTGCAAATCTACTAAAMCAAGAGGCTGAAGTGCTRACACATGAAGTGGGGGAGTGGTGGTGCAGAGGGTAGAGAAGCAGAGTCTGTGATTGGAAGGTCACTGGTTTGACTCCCCAGACCAACCAGCCCCACCTTGAGCAAGGCCCTTAACCCCTCAGCTGCTCCCCGGGCGCACCTGTGTGTTCACATGTGTGATGGCTAAAATGCAGAGAATTAATTTACCCACCAGGGGATCAATAGAGTGTATATATAAAAAAAAAACATCCTGTCTGTGATTGGCTGGTGATTGTGAGCGCAGACAGGGCCTTTGATCTGGTGCACCGGTGCATTGGTTCATGTCCTAAATAAGTCTGTTGACACCATATTGTAAAACCTACAGAAAGTCATCCATTTTGAACAAAAAGGAAATTTTCACGTCACACCAACTGCTACATTGTCTTCAAATTTGGATCAAAGCTTCTACAAACCCTAGTGTTGGTTAATCTGATTGGTCTGGGATTTTTTTTAGGTCTGCTCATTTTCACATCAAACCTTGGGGTCGAACTTCACAAAAATGTACGATATATGGGTATCAAGTCCTAACTAGGCAATATGCTAATGCCTTAAATTCACTGCTCCACCTAGTGGCAGTGCCAAAATATCTATTTGTGTTTGATTGAAATCTCCCACTCACACATTTTGTTCCAGCAGCTTCAAAACCTTTGTGTAAAGTTCAGACCCTGTAAGGCCACAAATCAATACGAGCTGGCTCCTGATGGCCACCCCTGCAGAAGGTAGCAGCCAAAAGTAAAGCATCAAAAAGGAATACACACAGGAATTGTATTCATACACACTAAAGACTGAATGTTTGCTTAGTGTGTTTGCTGTTTCTCTTATTTTCAAACTCTGTTCATAATCTGAATACTGAATGTAAAAAAATGCCATCACAGAGAATTTTCCCTTTGAAAAGAAAATGATATCCTCACAGCACAAATCAAACAGAGTCTGAGTGTCTGTAGCTGCAGGCTGAGTCAACAAGACTGTCATTAAGAACCTTATAAAGTAGGAAATAACTATTTATGTGCTGGCACTTCACAAGGCAAATATTTGTAAAGTTGACAGAAAGGACTTGCTTTTCATGAGGGACTAATCAACTTTAACACAGAATAGGATGTTTTATTTACCTTATTTACCATGTCTTAACTCAGTGGTTCCCAACCTATTTTCTTCAAAGCCCCCCCTTCTTACTTCCTGGTCAGTCTGAGCCATTTCTTCATGTAAAAAAATAAATATTAAAGATTTATTTTATCTAGTACTACATATTCTGTTTTTATTTGTATATTAATCAGAATAAAATATTTTTACATAAAATGAAATGTTTTAATATCCCAGCATTATTGATGCAAAAACAGCAACATGTCTAAAGAAGAACACAGAGAAAAGGAGAGACACACACATACAACTTGCTATCTTTGTGAGGACTTCACACACACACACACAGCAGCTCTGCGCCAGTTTTTTACACTGAGCAAAAAATGCATTTAAACCAGCTGATGTTAACTTAGATCTCAGTTTTAAATGTACACTGAAGAAAACCTGCATCACAACTTTTATCCTGCAGTCAGAACAAACGTGATCTGAGCGTCTGCCTGCTTTATATGTCCGCGGACGGCAGCTCAACGTAA